ATGGGAAGCTGAGCAATCCACCACAGGAGTTGTGCTTGCCCTGCCATTGCTGTTTGGCACAGCTGCAAGACTGGCACAGCAGAGCTCAGCCCAGAGCAAGAGCATTGCTGGGCCCACTGAATCCCACCAGTACAGAACAAGTTAGTCTATACAAGGAATTAAAGTGAAACAGCTGCTATTCTCAACTATCGCACCCTCCTCACAGCTGCTTCCTATGCTGGGCCCAAGCGCATGAACCTATTGTAGTTTTGCAGGCCCAGTAGTTTGGGGCCTAGTTCTTCTTCATTGATGGGAAACCAATTGCATTATGAAATAGGAGAGGGGAGTTGTTAGTGTGATATGAGAAAGAAGAGCACACAGAACCAGTCTGATAGCTGGGGTTTAAATGTGGAAATGTGCAAGGGAGCTGTGATTCCCTGAGGCAGCCAGTCCAGCAGGATGGGCAGGGGTGGATGTGGGATGCTGGTCCCAGTCTCTGGCCCTGGTAAACAGTGGTTCTGCTCCACTTGCTGGGTAAGCCTGCCTCTTGGCCAGCAAATACAGGCAAGGAGAAACTTAGCTCCCTTGTGCTGAAGTAAAAATGGACTTGGAGTTCAGTTTTCAGGGAAAAAAGAAGTCATGCTCACTGATCTCTCTCTCTCTCTCTTTTTTAAATTATTATTATAGCTTCAAAGGGATTATAGAGTTATATAAAAACAAGCAAAAAATCTTGTCTTCTCTGCTTCTTCTGAACTGCTTCTTCTGTTCTTAACCTTCATCAGGAAACAAAAAGTCCAGGAAAAACAAATTCCACTCATCAAGATTATGGAGGCACAGGACATTTGAGGTCAATAGAAGAACCTTCAAAGCCCCTGCTCCTTAGACGTTTGGACATAAACTGTTACAAAACAAAATTTTTCAGCAGTTCCAGGGACAGAGCAACTGCAGCTCAGAGAGAGCCCAAATTGTGGTTTACAACTTACATTTGGTATATGACTCTTCTGTAGAGTAATTACCCTGAGGATAGAATGCAGAGAAAAGTGACCTTTTAAAGGCTACTCAGAAAATCAGAGCTGCCAGATCAAGGTGGTATAATTCTTCTGTGAATCTCTCTGATGTTTTGTGCATGAGGTCTTGTGTGTAGGGAAATGAGTACCAAGTGTGATGGTGCTCTTAACTTGAGAACTTAGGCAGTAGTGGAAAGAAGGATATGGAGAGCTCTACCCTTTCCCAGTAAGACTTAGTATACAAACTAACCAACAAGCAAATGCAAAAAGAAAACCCACGAAAAAAGTCTGAAGAAAGTGTGGAACAGTGAAAAATGAATGAAAATAGGGAGTGTTAGCTAATAATCCCGTTAAGTAATGGTACATGGTTATGGGATTATGGGGAGCTGTAATAAGTTGATACTGCCACAATATGCAATTGCTGCCTAGGGCCCTGAAGGCTATGAAAGAAAGCTTCTATACACAGCGTGAAAGTTTTCTTGTCTGCAGCAATGGCTGTCCTAATTGTTTGATTAATGAACTCATTAAATCTCAGTATTACTAGAAGAAGCACATTGACCTTCTGACTGATCACAATTAAAACATAAATGCCATTTACTCAAGGCTCTGGTTAGACATCTACTTAGCAGCAGAACAGCCCCAAACACACCCACTTCACCAGCAGGATCTGGAGGTTAGGAGAGCGTCACAACAACTGCAGGTGGAGGCCAGGCCATTACCTGCAATTATACCAGCATTTGCCTGGTTATTAAGGTTATAACCAGTCTGAAAACACAATCCTCCATTGAATCAACAGCCAGGCTCCTGCTGACTTCCCTGGAGTTAGGATTTCACTCTGCGTCATCCCAGAGCACAGCAGTCAGGAAGTGTAATTAAACCTTGCACACAGACCAAGCCCAGCTCAGAGTTAAACATCCCAGAATAGTGCTGTGGAGGAAAATGCAAGGTATTCTGCTCTGAGGCTGCAGTACCCCTCGCTATGCTGTCATCCTGTTGGTATTAACTCATGGACTCTCACTGTTGTATTGTGTTCCTACAAGGTGAAATACTGACCCACTGTCTCCCTGCTATAAAAAAGGCCACACTTAGTTGGAAAGTACATTAACGTACAGTGATGGCATGGTTCAGCTATCATGTTGCTTGATAGACTGCAATAAAGTTATTTCAGTACCTCAACTCGTGATTTTTGAGTCAACGTGGCCAACCCCCTGTTTGGGAGCTTGAACAAATGCCTTTGGCATGTGTCGCTGGTGCTTTTTTGTCCATTAGCAGTTGTAGCTCACTGGATTCAATGAACAGAGGTGTCTCCTAGGGGCCAAAATGCAAGCTGATGTATCTGAAGTCATTTCAGCTAGCTGTATTCACCCTGGCTTCCTCAGTAGGCCAAAACATTAATGTTCTAGGCTTTCACCTGAGGTTATAGGAAATTGTTGTATCTTTGAGATGCCAGGCCAGAATGGTGTCAAACTCCAAATCACATTCAATGTTCAGGCTCTTTCAGTCATTTCAGTCTGCCCATTACTGCTATAGCAGGGAAAGATTTCATCACTGCTTGTACTATTGTGTGGGCTATTGTAGTTTTCCTGTCATTTCTCTCCAGCTCTGCAGAACTGAAAGAAATGCAGAGGTACACACCTCCAGCTGTGGCAGTGGTAGAGTTGTCAGTTGTCCCATTTCATTCAATTCTGAAATGTTCAAATGACTTTTGTTTTCATTATAGGTTGCTAGCAGGCTGAAAGACTTGAAGGTCAAAGGCTAAGAAACTGACTGCTGTTTTATCCACAGTGAAATAGAAAAATGATAGTGCTGTAGTAAATTTTCCTCCCACACGAGCATGAAGTTAAAAAGTTTGCACTCAGATAAAAACCAGGAGGTTGCTACTGTAACATATCCATGGCTACCAGTCTGTCAGCTTCCTAAGTGGCCTTTCTGTCGCTCCAGTTAATGACAAATTGGGACTCTGCCTGCTTCATATCTGCATTTGTCATGGTAACTCATCTGCCTGACCCTGCATCTCTGGTTCCACCATTATGATGTTTCCCCAGAAAAGCCAACTGGGGCTCCCTGAAGTTTGCTGTCACCATGGTGATGTGGGACAACGCAGAGCAACAACCTCATTTCCTTACCTCCAGCAAAGTTAGAGGGAGACAAAAATTCAGTATTCAGTGGCCAGTAGAAAATAGTAACCAATCAGAAAAAGTCAACCTACTGTCAGTCTTGATCACATAGCTCTTGTCTGGAAAGTTCTCTGGAAGTTACATGAACCCTGATGAGATAATTTATTTTTTCCTATCCAAGGCTGAATAAAAATACCACATCATTTGTAGGAACTGTCCCTCAGTGCCACATCCACACGGCTCTTGAACACTTCCAGGGACAGCGATTCCACCACCTCCCTGGGCAGCCTGTGCCACTGCCTCACTGCTCTTACTGAGAAGAAATGGTTCCTAATATCCAACCTGGCACAACTCAAGGCCATGCCCTCTTGTCCCATCTGTTACCTAGGAGAAGTGGCCAGGTGAAACATGACGTGAGAGACAGGATGAGGTAAGATGGTGTAGATTTAGGTGTTTTTTAAGCACATGCTGGCAGCAGGTGTAGTCTCATTCTTAAGAAGTGCACTGTAGTTTCTGATCAAATAAGTTGTACAGTGCTGGAAAGCAATGCTCCAAGTAGGAGCAAAACCACAACAGCTTTCATTTTTGCCACTTACAAAACAGGTCCTATTTAACACAGCAGCCCAGCTATTCTTAGCATCTCTAAAATGCCGAAATGCTAAATGAGGCAATAGGCTATTATGTTTTTTCTCACCAAGAGAGCCTGTAGTTGGCATAGTAGCATAGCAGAAAGCAGCAGTGGTTAGAGGAGGATCCTCCCCACTGACATGGAGAACCATGGCCTGTGCATTGCAGCATTGTGCCTGCTTGAGGCCAGGTGCTTGTTTCCATCCATGGAGCTCTTGGTGAAGGTGAGGAGCTTCAGGCAACCCAACAGCCATGAACACTGGTGGAAAGTTTATTTGAGATTCATCTGATAGCACTGAGGAGGGTGATGGAGCAAGCAGAACTAGTTTCATTACTGTACGTTGTTTTGTCTTATGTAGTCCAAAACATTCATGAACTATTAAGTAAATGGCACGCTCAGGTTTTTATTTCTGTACCCTTACACATAAGCAAAGCTCTTAAACTGCTCTTCAGGAGAATGCTGTGGCAGGCTTCAAAACTAGGCCTTTGAGCCCTTACAGCAGGGCGCAAAGTCCAGCAGAGCTGCACCGCCATGCTGAGCTATGCCTCGTGTGTTTGCTCAGAACAAGACCACCATGAGAGGCACGGTTACATGCCTTGGCCAGGGCTGAGTTCCATTAAGATGGAAACCCACACGTTGTCCCCGATCCTGTGCCTTTCCCCCAGCCATTACCCAGAGGTATGCGGTATTTGTGCTTCGTTAGGCCCCGGTTCAGCAAAGCATGGAGACCAGTGTGCTCAGCTGCTTGGCAGCTTCCTTCCTGCTCTGGGGCCCCCACGATTGTTTAGTTGAAAACCCTTTAATTTTTTGATTTATTCTGTTTATTCCCTTAAGTGCCTTAGACATTACATCTCGATTTATGCCGGTAAATCTTTCTCTTCTTGTTTCCTGTGATCATAAACTGATTTAGGCTTGTTTTAATCTTGCGGTGACTCAGGTAGATTTATGCTCATACAGACAAATGAGGTGGAGACTATTTCCTCTGGAAGGACTGCTGTGATTTCAATTTTGTTTTCTAACTTATGGTAATATTCATTATGCATTTTAATGAAAAAAATCCATCTCTGAGATGACAGAATTCTTCATCATATCCATGTGCATGTTCAGAGAAGGATATAAAGAAATTCTGCATGAAAATATGTGTCAGAGATGAGTAACACGCTCTGTGTGCTTACAGCTGGTCTGGACTCTGCTTACCTGCTACATCTGCTATCAAAATTTGCTATCTCAGATGTATGCAATTTTTTTTTTTTTTTTTTGTAATTGTAGGCTGGCAGCGATGGGGAAAGTATTGGAAATTGCCCGTTCTCGCAGCGTCTCTTTATGATCCTATGGCTAAAGGGTGTCATATTTAATGTCACAACCGTGGACTTGAAAAGGTGAGATCATAATAGGAGTTCTCATTTTTAGAACAACTTTACCATGATGGTGATTTAAAAGAATGAGTCTCTTTGATTTGAAATGCACACACGCAGGTTAGTGCACATTACTTACACTGCAAGTTGGCACCGTGCTAACAGGCTGTGCGCCTGGTGCCTCTTTCAGGTTCACTGATAGGAGGTGGACCAACTTCTTTGAAACATTTGAGATTTTAATCTGTTTTCCAGTAGGTCTCTGTAACACAAGCCTGAAATTGTAGCGTTTCAGGGTGCATTCAGATAGGGGCTAGATAATTCTGACACCACCAGCTTGAGGAAGCTGGGTGCATTGTGCTTGCAAGAGATATTGTAGCCTGCTACTGTGTAGTTGATGCAGATCATTGCAATAAGGAATTGAAAGCGTGGTCCCCACTGTGATTAACCCAGCCTCTTTTCTCCCTCTAGAAAACCTGCCGACCTGCAGAACCTGGCCCCAGGGACGAACCCACCCTTCATGACGTTTGATGGTGAAGTCAAAACTGATGTCAATAAGATTGAGGAGTTCTTGGAAGAAAAGCTGGCGCCACCCCGGTACGGCATTGCTGTCCCCTCCTCCTGCTTATAGCCCAAGTTGTGAGAAAGTATCTGTGGGAGCAGTGCCTCCAACCTGGTTGCAAACTGAGGAGGCCTGGCAGTGTGTGGCATGTATCCTGGGGTAGCCCCAACTGCTGGCTCTGCTCTTCCCACTGCCTTTGCCTTCACCTCAAGTTCATAGTTGTACCACTACAATCATTTTCAAGGCATGAAATCCGCCCTCCTGCAACAAGTATATGCAGAAACCTGCATACCACTGCAGAAACCTGACCTCTTTTCCTCTGCTTGTGTTTATTTACTGTACAAATAATTCGGGGAACAGGTAGTAGAAAGAAGCAGCAGTGGAAGCCTCCCACATTGCAGGAGTGCTGGGTCACAGACCATTGCAGCTGATTTTGAGTGGCTAGGTGGGATAATCCCTGTGTGTGCTGCAGGCTGGGTTTCAGACCTGTCCTTCTCACCCCAGGAGCAATCCTCACTTCTTCCCACATCCTCTGCCAGTGGCATCATTCCGCCATGCAGGCACTTTTTCCTTCCCAGGACAGCAGCTGCCCCTTCGAGCAGCCAAACTTGCTTCGAGCTATGTGAGCCGCTATGTGAGCAGCTACTTTTTCCCTCCTCTCTGCCTGTGGCAGCAGCAGTGACTGGCCTGGCCATGCTGAGCTTGCTTGTGCATGTGCAGGACAGACGAGGAGGCTGGGAGGAGCAGCAGTTGGTGTTAGTGGGGACTTTCCCTCTGCTCCTCCTCACGGCTCTGCTCAGCCTCACCTCCAACCTAGGCAGCCTGGAAGAGGTACTGTGTTGCTTGGGCAATGGTTGCAGCACAGTCATTTCCATCTGCCCCAGGAGCAGGAGGTGAGCCACTGGTTTGGGTAAGGGGTGAAATACACACTTACAAACTGTTTTTTAGCTTAGGATGGTTCTCTTTGTAAGCCCTGAGTAGCCATAAATTGTAACACTGCAGTTTCAGTGATATATATGGAGTAATTAGTTAAGGTGAAAGTAAAGACTACTCCATAATTTTTTGATTCTTTCAACTCCTCAGGTATCCCAAACTTGCACCGAAGCACCCTGAGTCTAACTCTGCAGGAAATGACGTGTTTGCAAAATTCTCTGCATTCATAAAGAACCCAAGAAAAGATGCCAATGAAAGTAGGTGCTACGATCCTTCCACCTGCCCTGATATAAGTTAGAGTCATGCAACTCCTGTGTCCTCCAGCTCCATCTCCACCATTGCACACCAGCCCCATCCCCTATGAACACCCCAGCCAACCCTTGCTGAGCCCTGCTGTTTCTGGTAACACAGACCCAGTTTGGTTTTTCTCAGAACCCCCTTTAGCTACTTAGAGCTTTTATCCCAGCATTACATTTTAAGCTTAGGATAAAGGAATTGCAGGAGTTAGCATGGCTGGGTATCTGCAAGCTGGGCTGGTGCCAGGAGACAGGATGCAGTAGGCGCCTTTCTGCTTGGTGTCAGAGAGACCTTGGTACAGGCTTGAACGATCTTTTTATTGTCTTAACCTAGATCTGGAAAAATCTTTGCTTAAAGCCCTGAGGAAGTTGGACAACTATTTAAATAGCCCCTTGCCTGATGAAATTGATGCTTACAGCACTGAGGAGATCACTGTGTCCTGCCGGAAATTCCTGGATGGAGATGAGCTCACCTTAGCAGATTGCAACCTCCTACCAAAGCTCCACATAATTAAGGTTTGCATTTCTTTTTCAGCCTCCTGAAGAGAAGGGCAGCGTAGAAGCTCAGGCTCTTTTCTAAAAGGCAGAGGAAGTCTGTCTTTTTTGAAGCCACACAGTAGCTGTGTAGGGACAAGGAGTGCTAACACACAAGGCCATTTCAGTGCAGCACAGCTAGGCAGATCTTCACATTGACAGCTGGAGCTGGAATATCTGGTTTCATATTTAGACTGTGACTACTTTCTCTACGCCTCTCACAAATATTAAATCAGTGCTGTAGAGAAATATTTCTATTTGCATTTCACATGCAAAGTGCCACAGACCAATAAGGTTAAATGATCTTGCCCTTGCTAAATGAAGAAAGCAGCAAATGCTGAAATTTGGCCATCTCTCCCACCTTTAATCCAAACCCCTTTTCTGAATATTACCACTAATAACCAATAGCATAGGCAGCCACCATCTTCCAGCTAAGTGCTCTGAAGCACCCACGCACTCCTATGGGTCCTGGTGATTGAGATATCTGGGCATTGTTACAGCTTGTCCTAGGCTGCCCTGGAGCCAGCCAGTCTCTGGAAGGGAAGTGGCCACACTGAAAATTCATGTAGTTTCCAAATAAATGAAATCACTTCAGAAAGTTTCATTCTTGACTACTATTTTGTCAGAGAAAGAGTGGATGGAATTGTTTTCAGTCTCTCTCAGGGATGAAAGCGTTTCCAGGAGGTGTCCTGATTGAAACTATTTCAGCGATATGAGCAGAGCAGTGAGCCCTATCCTGCTCCCAGCCACAGCTCAGGCACAAGGAGAACATGTTTAAAGGGTGGTAGAGGATGAACATCAAGTCATCCTTGCTGAACCATAGGAAGGAATTAGATGTCAGCTGGTAGTTGTTTTCTCCAGCCACTCAAAATCTATGCTCTCTAGCTCTGAGAAAGAAGGGGACACTCTTTTAGCAGAGTCTCTTCTGACAGGGGAAAGAGGGGAAATTTAGATTGGATTTAAGGGGAATATTTTATACTCTAAGGGTGGTGAAGCAGTTGAACAAGTTTCTCAGAGAGGCAGTGGATGCCCCATCCCTGTAAACACTGAAGGTCAGGCTGTGTGGGGCTCTGAGCACCTGATGGAGCTGTAGGTGTCCCTGTTCACTGCAGGAGAGTTGGACCAGATGGTGTTGAAGAGTCCCTTCCAGCTCAAACGATTCTATGATTCTATTAATTTTCTAAGTGCAAGTCAGTTTTATTACTGTAAGAGTTAATTCTGATTGATGCCAGCTTCTTTGCTGCTTTAAGCTGCATCTCTTCCATGGTCTTATGGTGAATATAGCTCCACACAGCTCTAGCAAAATATTTATATCAAATAAATCCTTTCAAGTGAGCTGACTTGTTAGCCAGCTTTCTTCATCTCATATCTGGCCTTTTTTTTTTTTTTTTTGCCTTACCTTTTCCTTCTTCCCTCCACTGTATATAATGATAGACTGTTATATATTGAAAATTAAAAATGTTCATAGAGTAGAGTCAGTTACATTTAGGTCATGTTCCTTTCTACTCTGCTCTCATGTCCCCATCTGGAGTACTGCATCCAGGTCTGGGACACCCAATACAAGAGAGGCAGGGAGCTGTTGGAATGGGTCCAGAAGAGGGCCACAAAGATGATCGAAGGGTTGGAGCACCTCCCTTACAAAGACAGGCTGAGGGAGCTGGGCTTGTTAGCTTGGAGAAGAGAAGGCTGCGGGGTGACCTCATTGCAGCCTTTCAATACCTAAAGGGAGCCTACAAACAGGAGGGAAGTCAACTCTTTGAAAGGGTAGATAATGGCATGACAAGGGGAAATGGCTTTAAGTTGAAGGAGGGAAGATTTAGGTTGGATATCAGGGGGAAGTTCTTCACGGAGAGAGTGGTGAGGTGCTGGAACAGGCTGCCCAGAGAGGTTGTGGATGCCCCATCCCTGGAGGTGTTCAAGGCCAGGTTGGATGTGGCCCTGGGCAACCTGGTCTAGTATTAGATATGGAGGTTAATTGCCCTCCCTACAGCGGGGGGGGGGGGTGGAGCTTGATGATCGTTGGGGTCATCCTATGATTCTATGATTCTATGTGTGCAATAAAATTTTTCTTTTATTTTCTTTATAAAAAGGTTGTTGCAAAGAAATACAGAAATTTTGATTTCCCACCTGAAATGACGGGGATTTCAAGATACTTGAATAATGCATATGCAAGAGATGAATTTACAAACACTTGTCCTGCTGATCAAGAAATTGAGTATGCGTATTTGGATGTTGCAAAGAGAATGAAGTAAATGGAAGATGTTTCCCTTCTTTATTACTTCTGAGATTTTATGGGCACCAGCCAATATGGAAACAAAGAAAAGCCAGCACGCATTCTGTAGTGCAATTTTAACTTCTGTTATTGGCCAATCCTTCTTTTGTAATAACTGTGTAGCACTGTTTGCTTGTTCTTAAATGATGTATGTGTATGTGTGTCTGTACAGATGTACACACACAGGAATGTGTGTTATGCACTCCAAGTTAAAGGCATCAGTCAGTACTCAGGCTTTTGCTGAAGTTAGAGAAACAGCATAGGTCACACAATTACAGCAATATTACAGACTAGTGACATGCTAAATGACTGAATTTTGCAAAGAAATAGCCCTGTTCCTTACACACATGTAACCTGTCATTACTGCTGCCTCTGATCTGTGTTTCACTGCTGTTGCCAAATTTCACAGTTCCCGGGAAGGTTTCTGCTTTCTTCTCTCCAGGCCTCGGCGGCCCCATGCCAACAGCTGGCACGCACGCAGTACCCTGGTTAATCCAGGAGAGAAGCCAGACTGGAGGTGGGACCACACCTGGCTTCCCAGAAGCCCTCTCCTCTGTGCTAGAGACCTGCAGGGCAGGTCAGTGAAGAACAACTTGTCCTCACATTGCATGAACTGTCTTTGGTATGAAAGAAAGTAATTAGAAAGATTCCGCCTTCTCCTCTCTCAGGGCTGCATAACCCATCCAGCTTCCTTCAGACAAAGAGAGGAACGCAGACTGTCACTGGCTTGTGGATTATCTAATAACAAATATCTAACAAGGGAGGAGGCAGAGGCTTGGTTGTCGCTGCAGACTCAATAAATGGGTGAACATCTGCCCCCTGCTACTGGTGCAGGATCCCTCTGTCATCCTTTTGTGACTCCCATTTGGTTTTGGAAAGCAAAGAGGAGGGTCTAAGAAAGCAGTAGTCCTTTTATGCTTCTTTATCTGGATTTAGCTGCAGGGTTTGGATTTTCCCAAGCAGTCACAAGGACTTCTTTGCTGAGAGCTTTCCAAATGTCCAGGTGTTGTCCCACTGAGGACGACAGAGGCATAGCTCCTGCCTGGGGATGGATGAGATGAACCTCTCCAGGCTGGCATGACCCTGTGTTCACGGAGCCAGTACTACTAAAAAGTATTCTCTGGGCTTCATGGAACTGTTGGAGAGGTGTATACTCTGAAAAGTCACATCCATGACTGCTTCTTGCTGAGCAGGCCCTCAGCAAACACCTAGGGGCAGAGGGTGCAGTGGTTTAGTCATAGGGGCACCTGGAACTTTCCTTCTGATGGGTTTTGCCTGTACGTACAAAGTAGACATGGAAACAGCTAAAAGTAGCTTCTGTAGCACCTGCATCCATACAAAGACTGATACAGAATAGCCATTCATCTTTGCCTAAGTCAACCATAGGCTTGCTTTTGTAACAGTGCATTACTTAGGGTAATAGTAGGTGTTGGGTGTTATGGTGTCTGTGGCTTCCTCTTATACACTACGCAGTTCTTTTGCGAATGTCCTAGCATGATTATTTGTAAGCAATGTTAAACACACAATTTTAGTTTCTCCAGCTTCTCTACAGAGAAAACAGGCACAACATCTTTCCCTTCCAGCCTCTGTTGTGAGGTTACACACTGGGGTTGGTAGCTGAGCAGTCACTTGTCATTTCTTACTAACTGTTAGTTTGTATTTTCAAATACATACCTGAATATATAATAATATATAAAATAAAAATCTGTATACTCTTTTCATATGCCTTACAAATTTAAATAGAAAATATACAAATCCATAAGTAATTTGAGCAGTGTTCTGTCTTTATTTCCATAGTAATTTCCTGGCAAAGATGCTTTGCAGCAATGGCCTGGATTTTAGCAGGCAAGATTTAACCCGGCTTTAGTTTGTTTTGGAGGAATGGTGTCTCAAACCTGCAGTTGGATCTTGGGAGCAATGCACACTGACTGTGCTCCTTACTGCTGAATAAAAATACAAAGGGTCAGTGTGTAATCCCCGACCTTGGGGCCCCCTAGCACAAAGCACATTCCCTCTGCTGGGACTGGCCATCTTTTAACAGTGGGTCTGAGAAAGACCAGATTAGGAGGTTTAGATGGTTCTCTTAAACTGTTCATGCCCATGCAGAAGTTCGTGGCTCCAGCTCTCCACAATGGGTTGCTGTTTCCACAAATGTTGCTATCTAAATCAGCACATTTTGGTTGGTATTTGCATATTTCAAGCAACACAGGGAAAAAATGTGGGTAGAGAAGTCGTAGAAATGACCCAGTGTGTCAGCAAACTGTAGTTACTTCATTTGCCTAGGATAGGAAGAGCTAAAGTGCTTGCATAGTCCTGCAGTGTGTGGAGCCATACCTATTACATTTTGAATGTCTAATTCCATCCCCTGAAAGTGCTTAAGAAAAAGTCATTGTCCATCTTTGAGTTGCTCTATTTTTAAAAGACCATGGAAATACTTTTAAATTTACTGGAGAACAAATAATATGATATAAAGGGAGAGAGAAAGCAAATTGTGTTGTTAATTATATCACCACCTGACTGAGCAGCCTTGACAAGATGTAATATCTAGATACAGATTTGCAGTGCTTGACCCCATGTAAAAGCAGAGATTATGTTCAATTATTTTAAGGCATGCCTGTGCAGACAGAGCTACTGATTTCCAAATGCTTATGAGCACAAGAAGTCTTCTCTGTAACATTGCTTGTATAAAATTTGTTTTTATTGTTTTCGCTTTAAATACAAATGTCTGTATTTCCCCTTTAAACATCTATTATATGCAAAGAATATATGCTCAGAAAGTGAATTATTTTTTCTTCTATCACCTGTGTAGAAAGTTCTTTGGGTTTGAAGACTTTTCTTGTCAGCTTCAGTATCTCAGATAGTCTTCAGAATGACCCATCAACTTGAAGGATAAATACTACTTGTGCTCAATGCAGTAATTCCAAAAGCATGCTGGAATAAAATCAAATACATGGTAATCAACTGTAACACATTTCCCCCAGTGTGTTCCATTTTTGAAATAGCTTCAAAGCAGTGAAAAATGAAACCTCATAAAAGCAAGTTGGTATCCATCGTCGGTATCAACATGCTATTTGTTTGAGTATAAGCAAATATCTAAATCCCATGAGCTCCTTATAGCTGGTTGAAGTTTAGCTTAAAAGCCACACCCGTTGGTTATTTCTAAGCCGTCAAGAACCAGTGATCAAGTGGTAAGTTGAGGCATGACCCCCAAGAGGTCAAATCAACAAAAACTATCAAAAACATGGTAGAGCCTTGGCTGTGCTGAGCCTTGACTTCATTAGTAAACTTCCCTCTAAACTGGCCTCCACAAGTGCTGCTATTGCTCAGTCACTCTTGGCCTCACAGATGCTCCCCGTGGACCCTTCAAAGCTACTCAAAGAACACTCACCGTGACTTTACTGATCACATATGGGACATGCTGCCCTAAAAACTGAATTTCCTGGTGAGCTATTCTGGATACCTGGCAGAGATGGGAGAGCAGAGATTTGCCATGTGGCTCTCTACTACATTCTCCAGTCAGCAATATTAAATAGCATCATATTCCTGAGCTACTCCTAGTTTTCTTATGAGACAGAAGGCCAGACTTAGGTCCTGCTTCTGAGCTATGGGGTAAAGCAACCTTGTGGACTGAGCACTTAGTTTTCCTTCATCTCTGAACTGCAAAGAAGGGCAGGAGTGAAGATTTTGGACTCCTGAAGACCTAAATTAAACACATGCTGATTAAGTTTTTATTGATGAGCAAAATGCAAACAGAAAAATCTCGTCTGGAAGTGAACTGATAGAAATCAGAGTTTTGTTTCAAAATCTGAAATTTGTCCAACTTTTAGATTAAACCAATGAACTGAAATCAAAATAAACATTTCTTTTGAAAGCTGAAGGCAACTGTTTTTCTTGGGTTTCTTCTCTTTACCATTCCCTTCCCTTTTATTTATTTATTTGTTTGTTTTCAGTGATGAAAGGGGAAAAATAAGAGATAGAAGTGCTGGAGAAGGGAAGAAAAGCAAAGAAAACAGAATACCAAACCTTGGTTTTCAACTGAAGACTAAAAAGTAACACAACCTATAAACCGAAAGTGTATCTTTTGTTGAAAAATACTTAAAAGTTGCTTTCATCTAATTTGTCATTCTCTTTTCTTTTGAAAACATTAGGATCTGTACCAAACCACTCAGTTCTCTTCACTAAGTGAAGAAAAGCTTTTCCTGAAGATGAAAACTCTGCTACTTCTTTGCCTCTTATGCTATACTCACAGGAAAGATTGCAGGGAGTTGCAACAACCTTGCATATGTTGTATGGAGGATGCTGTGTGTCCCACTGCTCAGACACAACCTACAAGCTCTGCATGCCTCATGTGTAACCATGCTGTAGCAGATAGGAGTGCTACAAGCCTCTCTGCCTAAGGATGCCTGAGCTAACAGGCTGCAAGACGACAAGGATGTGTCCATCCAGTAAGAATACTGGCTACAGTATCTTGTGTGGATAGAAAGTAACCACTACATCCATAAGCATCCTCCTAAAGGTGGCTCCTCTGCTGGCATTAGCAAAATCTCCTCTGAAAAACCTCAGATCACTGTGGATATAATTTGAACTAAACTGTAGGTCTCTCCCCACCTCCTCCTTCCCTCCCTCAAGCATCTCATTCTAGATCAAGCATGTGCCTTAGGAAATGCAGTAGCAGAAGCACACTCAGATAACTGCATCAGAGAACTGATAAAACTGTCAGTCTGCTGAAACACAGCTGGTTGGGTGGCAATTCCTGATCAGGCTTCCACTGTGTTTGCTGCAGAGTCAAGAGCAGCTACAGCTGTTGCCCATATTCTTGTAGACTCATGATGCCCATTAGTTGCCTTGGCTCCTACAGAAGCTACAAATTCACTGGCCCTACAGTGTGCTTAGTAAGTGAGGTAAACACCTCCTGCTGTGCTTGAACCCTACTTTAAGAAGGGCAGATTCAGGAGATTCCACCCAAGCGTGACTTCAGGCAGGACCGAAGGATTCTCAGTGTGCATAAAAAGGGACCATGAACCCTTGTCAAAAATGGAAGGCTGTTATGCTCATTTCATACCTACAGAACTGAAAGTGGCACAAAGACAATGTTTCTTATCCAAGGACACGTGAGGCAAACTGGTGAAATTAGGTCTCTCACGCTTCACAATCAGACAGGGCAGAACTTTCCTGAGTGACTTTGTTATAAGTACATGGAGAGATGTGCAATTCTTCTCTTCATTAATGTAAAGCCAGATCTGATTCAGTTTGGTAATCATAGAATCTTAGAATGGCCTGGGTTGAAAAGGACCACAAAGATCACCTTGTTTCAACCCCCCTGCTGTGTGCAGGTTCTCCAACCAGCAGACCAGGCTGCCCAGAGCCACATCCAGCCTGGCCTTGAATGCCTCCAGGGATGGGGCATCACAGCCTCCTTGGGCAACCTGTTCCAGTGCTTCAACACCCTCTGTGTGAAAAACTTCCTCCTAGGCTCCTACCTAACCTAGGTTCCCCTGTCTCAGTTGAAAACCGTTCCCCCTTGTCCTATCCTCTCCTTAAGTTGAAAAGTGTTCCTTGTTACTTTGTTGAAAATTTTTAGGAGAGGACTATGGACAGATATTGATTGGATTTACACAAAGCTTACGGTTGAAGTGGAACCCATGCTTAACATCTGAACCAGGCAGAGGGTAGATCCGACAAACCAGAATGGATTGAGGAAACAGTCATTTCTAGCATGACACCGTGGCATACATGAATCAGGCTACAAAGCATTCACCTTCTGAAACTAGAACATGACCTACAAGTGTCAGTAAGAGAAATTACTGAATCTCCTCTAAGATATAAAAGCAAAAGATGACTGATCCAAATAGATGTCAATGGAAATACTGTGGCTTGTGGCTTTGTCTCTTGTTTAAACCCCTCCACCTCCCTGCGTGTATTTTTGCTTTCAGTCATGTTAAAACGTGACCTCTGCCCTGAAGATATTATTCTCTCTTCAGTATTTGAGTCATGCTGTGTCACTAGCATTGAATGATAGGGCAAGTTGTATTAGAAGTAAAACATACGGAACTAACAAAAGAGGTGTCATTAAAATAACACAAAACCCATCTACAATGACATATAGCTTGCAGTAAGTTTTTTATAGTTTGCTCTTCTCTCCCATTTTGAATTTCATCATAGAGAAGCATCTGCAACAGACTGCATGCTTGCATGCTTGTAAGACCTTCTGGTGGGGAGTCTTTGAAGCAAATCAGTGTAAACATTTCCTTTCATAAAGAAATTGATTCCTTAGAATCAAGATATTTTGCTAGAGAATACATGTAGGACTGAAGCTTCCTTCATGTTCCTTGTTCCACTTCTTCTTACCCAAAAGTCCTTCTACAACACACAGACAGACACACAGACAAACATACAGTCTGTCTCTTTACTCAGTCATATGCTTTCCTTAGAAAAATACATTTAAAACAGCAATCAAATAAATACAAAAGACCCTTACTCCATTTGAAAAGGTCCCTGGCCCTTTTTATTACAGGATTCTTACATAGAGGAAGGCAGACACAGAATCAGATATATAAAATCTTTGCAAAACCAGTAGCAGATATGCAAATCTCTTTTTGAGAAAACACTTTCTGACATTTACCTCTGATTCCACTGATTTTAGTGTCTGCTGCCGGACT